TTCCATGCATGTCTCTTCTGGCTAGGCTCTGGTCCATCAGCTGTTGCATCTTCTGTTGCTGGAGGATGGTGCTTTAGCATTTCAAAGCTGAGAGTAAAAAAAATGTCAGTCCATGCAATTTCCCTGGTAACTGAGATGTATTACTCATGTGGAGCAAAGCTGTGGTTATCCCAGTGTCACTGGGAAGTGAGAGGGTGGATGAGCATGGTAGGGGTTGGGAAGGAGATAGTCTGTGGGCAACTGGAGGTGTGAACAGCTTAGATGCTGACCTCTATGTAGAAAGAAACAGCACAGAGAAGTCTCTCTTGAGGAAAGTAGCAGTGTGTCTGGCCTGCCACTTCTGCAAGTGCCTTTCAGTTCTTAAGATGTTCTCTGATGGCACCATGGGAGGAGAGTCGCAGCTCTCATTTTGTGAGGTAGATTTACAAATGATAGTTTCTTGTATTGTGAAGTAGATCTCTTCAGGTGGAAGTCTAAATGCTTTCACCTATTTCAGGTTACCTGCCGCGTCCTGGGAAAGTTGCCCATTCCAGGACCTCTGTTGGTGACAACACTTAATGACTGATCTCAGCATGGGGGGTTGAGGAACCAGGGGAGATGGAAAGTGATTGCTTGCCTTTAGCCCCTTAGTGCAGCCTCTCCTGGGTATGTAAAAGCAAAGAGTGGGATGGTTTGTTACTATTTGTGTTCTCTCACTCCCTGAAGGACCAAACTTTAGTTCTGTAAGGTCTGTGTTCACTGAAAGCACCAGATTTAAAAAAAAGTGGATGATAAAATGTGGGAAAACTGGCAAAGAATTGAGACAGTTCCCCGAGTACCTGTGAAATTCTCCTTTCAGTTCTGCCTATGACACCCCTTCCTGTCCAGATCCCCTTGTTCACTTCCATCAAAAGCAGCTTTCAGCCAAGCAGCATGAACCAGGAATTACAAATTGGCAATGAGGAACAGGCATGAAGATGGATTCCTAGCTTTTAACATTCAGTCCTGACACCTGGTTGGCTAAAGTACATACACTCACTTGAGCTAAGTGCAGGGAAGTGAAAGAGGGAAAGCACAGTGAGGGAAGAGATGGAGGAGGGCCTTGCAGGTGATTTTTATTAAAAGCTGAGTTGTTCATTTGTAGCCATTTAGCGGGTACTGCTGTAGCAGAGCCTGAAATGAAAATTGCTAACCTCCGAACATCCACCGCATCCATCAGGCTGCATCTCTGAAGTGCCTCTTATGCCCTTCCCTCGGGGCTGGAGGGGAGAGACAAATCAGTCAGGGGTGAAATACTAGAACAGGCTGCTTCCAAGGAGGCCTTTTCAGCTCAAGGGGTTTGTAATGGTCGGCAGAGCTCTGCACCACTGAGATGCCTGTGAAATGCAGGTGGTATCAGTGGTGTTTTTGTGGGTTTCTGATGCCTTTGAAACACCTACACGTACACAGGCCTCCTGCTGTACTGCAATAGTAGAGGCCATGTGGTTTTCCCCCTCTGCAAAGTTCTTGAAACTTGCATTGACTCCGCTGTTGAACTTGCAGGTGCTTAGTTCTGACCTCTGGTAGTTAATTTCCACAATGCCTGCAGACTGGCCTTCATTTGAAGCGTGTACTTGCAGCAGAGAACTCAACTGTTAAAGGTCTCCTTCTCATACTGACTAGCAGGCTTCGCACATGGGTCCCTGGGCTCAATCCTTTCCTTGGTGATGCTGCTGAAGCCGTTTAAAGCTGTGACCACAAGGTGAGAGGTCTGTAGTGGTTATGTGGTATCATTAGACATCTTTCAAAGATAGTAAAGAAGTAAAATGAAGCTTCGGAAGTCCAGTACCAACAAAATAGAATCATAGAATAGTTAGGGTTGGAAAGGACCTTAAGATCATCTAGTTCCAACCCCCCTGCCATGAGCAGGGACACCATACACTAAACTATGTTGCCCAAGGCTCTGTCCCCATCAAAAATTTCTTTTCCTGAAAACCAGTTCGTTTGCATTACCAGAGTCTAACCAAGTAATGGACTGCTGTCCCCAGTGGGTTTCCATTCAAGGCTGTCCATGGAACAGCCATCGTCAAGAGTTGGAAAGCCATCAGGAGCAGCAGTCATCCCTTGTTACAGGGAAGGAAAGATTGAGAGGTGATGTGACGGCAATCATTTGTCTGTGCAGGATATCTGTGGCATCTGGGACAAGAACATGTTTAAATTGCTGTGGTGGAAACAAAGGCTGAGTGTTAGGAAAGAGTTTGTCACAGTACTTCATGCCTTTATTCCTAGAAACTAGCTGACAAGATGAATGAGTATTAAGAATGAGATAGATAAATATCTTTTGGGAGTGGTTTAGTGAGAGCTGATCCTGCCCTGGTAATTAGATGACCACTCTGGGTCCCTTCCCATTTCCTTTTCCATGGTTGAAATCAGAACACCACCTTTTTAATTTTCTGCTTGCTTTTTTAGGGAGTTGCTAAATGAGGCAGCTTTTCAGACCACGTGCCAAAGGAGGTGGACTTCATTTCTGTTTTATTTGAGTAGCTAGAGCTGCTCTGAAATTGGAATGAATTTGTTGCTCAGATCCCCAGAGACCACCTCTTGACTCTGTGTGGCTTACGGCTAGCATTCACTTCTTCAGCATTATTCAGTCTCTTGTGTACCTTCAGTTCTTCCTAAAACAGGGATCCTGCAGTCTGTGGGATCTCACAAGCTGTAGGGATCCCTTCTAACTTCACTGAATTCCATGAATGATTCTCCATTGAGTTTCAAGGTGCATGAACCAGGTTGCAGGATCAAGCTTTTAGGCTGCAACCTCTCTTTTGAAAAGAATTCCCTTGGTGGTATAGGAAGTGCTCACACTGGTCCTAAACATGCTTTGCTGTCTTCCTCCACTCTGCCACAAAAGAACAAGCATCTCTGGGTTAAAATGCTAAGGGGCTATTGCTTGGGATGTCAGAGCATGTGCTTAAGACACTGCTTTTTTTTCCCTCCCTACATACTTGCTTCAAAGGGACTTTAAATTGCTATCTATCTTTAAAAAATTCAGCTAGAAACAGTCTGATCAGGTGTATAGCAATCAGAAATTTCTCTTCCAAAAGTTCCCCATGAGTCATGGCTGCAATTATTCACAGCCTGACGAGCAGTGGACCTTGATGCATAATGAAAATTGAAGCCCATAAGTACTGTAGGTTAATCAATATCTAAATTGAAGTTCACAGTTGAAAATACAATCAATACTCTGATATAATCCAGTAGTGTTTCTGCACAGGAAGCAAACCGTGGCAGGATCTTTCCCATAACAGACAAAGAAACAAGGAGACCTTGGAGCAGCATAGAGAAGATTCTCAGGTTGAGATGGGAAATCACCAACAGTGGAAACACTTCAAATATATTGCCTTCCCATTTGTGTAAGGGTTGGCTCTGCTGGTGCAAGTCAGACTCTCCGTGAATGAAGGTTTGATTGCTTTAATGAAACATCAGTACCCTGCATAAAAAGCAGAGTTCTCCTCTATTCCATGCCAATATTTCTTTTGGAAGACAAGGGCAGCTCTTAGCCTTTGATACCTGATTGCAGCCAAAGAAATGACTGAGTGACTTAGGAGTCTCCAACAGGGCAGTCCACAGACCTGTGTCTATGGACTGTGTTTCCCACCCCCCACACCCCCAATAAAATTAAATTGAACGTTATGTTCACTAGTTCACATTTTGTATTGAAATAGAGTGTAGCAAAATCCATACTTGGCAATGCTCCTTGTACTGTTCATCTGTGCAGTAAACTCAAGAGGCAGAGTTGGGGACTCACAGCTATGTAAAAGATCAAGAGAGGGAACTAGGTCTCCCAAGCCCTGTGCAAGTGGCC